TACCGTATATATAGGACTGCATCAACCTTATCCATTGTGTGGTAACGTGTAGGAGCGTTTCCATCTGTTTCCTAATGTTTGGCCATATGACTTATGACAAAGGGCAGAAAGGCTGTTCATGTTGGACAGGGGTAGTCTTGGAGGCAATAAGCCTTCAGCATTTAATCGAATGAAAGCTTACTCTTACTTAATAGGGTGGAACAAATAGGCCCATCCCTACTATTATAAATATAGAACTATGATAATGGGTCACATTGGGCTCTATTTTATATTTAGCTCATTGTTGGCAATCACAGTGACAAATGCCAAAGCACAGAAACAGACAATTGGAATATATGCTCAATTTAATACTTTAAATTGAGGTCTCTACAGGAGGTTCATAAACCGATTCAAAAGGGTTTTTTATTAGCCCTTACACGGTTTAACTAACAACAAAGGCCTTTATATCCATATTTTAAAATATCACCAAATTACCAAGAAATAGGTATAGCTGTCACGTACATCACGGTGTATGGTTTATTACTTGGAGTATGTATTATACTTTCGTATGGTTTATTAGTCATGGAATGTTGTTTACAAGACATACACACTCGTGTGTTATAGCATGTATTATATTATTATTATTATTTTTATTATTTTTTTTCTTTTATTATTATTATTATTATTATTATTATTATTAACTCTATGTACAGTATTGACGACTATATTCTTATTTTTGTTTTTAAAAGAAATCCTGCTCTCAGCAACTACAAGTCTCAAATCTAATCTATTTTGTAGTTTGTCAGCTTATTTACTTTGTTTACTGTATGCCTACGTTTTTAGTTGGATACTTTTGTTGATTATATGCACTCTAATTTTTTTAATTATAAGCAGTTTCATTTAGCAGGGTGAATTATATTAATTCCAGAAGTGGATTCAACATTCTTCTATACACAATGTAATATATTCTTTCGAACAGTTGATTGAATAATTTTACTTCTAAAAGTATTTAAGAAAAGTCACATTGTTTTTATGGTGATTTGTCCTTGGTGTTGATGAACCTATATTTTCCTATTTATGTCTTATGTTCTCTTATGTAGTTCCGTACGCCAAGATGGTCGAGGAGTAAGAATTATGGCACCACAGCGAAAGAAAAAACAGTGAGTAGACCGAAAACTTCATTTATATCTATTTTCAGTGGTCCGGTCGGACCATGAAAATATAGAGAAATAAGACCCTTTGGTTACATTGCGAAAAACTGAAAGCTATTTGTTCTCTCATCAAGATTGAAGGGTTTGTGGTTAATGATGTAATAAGATGCATTAATTATAAAATCAACTCATTAATTCATGTAGCCCTATAAATGAACGAAATTAAAAAGGTCGCTGGAATCTTATTCATGAGAACTTGAACAGTAACACAGAATCAAAGCAATGGTTATGTCAGAAAAGTGTAATTTATATATTTTTTTAAAAACCATAGTGATTTTCCTAAATTGATATTGAGGGCAGTGTTGATATAGCCAATTGATGTTTAGCTGCGTAAACGATCATTAATTGGACGAATGTTTGAGCTATAATTTTAGAATACATCATAACTTTATTAAATCATTCGTATTTTAATTCTTTATTGGTGTTATCATCATTATCACGATCATAATAATTTTTTACCCTCATCGTCGTCGCCGTCGCCATCATATATCGTCATCATCATCATCATCATCATCATCATCATCATCATTGTCATCCTCATTATCATTATCTTCGTCATCATCATCAACATTTTATCATCATCGGAATATCATTATAATTATCATTACCTTATCATCTACCTCATCATTTTCATCAGTGTGAGCATCATCCTCACCATAAACGATTGTGGATCAATTATAATAGAAAATAACAATATTATTGTATTTTTTTGTTTTTGTTTTTTTTTTCAGATCTAGACCTACTAGGCAATCGCGTAGGCCTACTGATCATCACCAAAGGCAATCCACGTAAGTTTTCTCCTATAATTATTCGAAACCACTGTTTTCATCACAGGCATATTCTAATGATAATAATATAATATTTATTCACGTTAATGAATTCTTTCTTTATGTAAATGGATCGACATCGACTTTCAAATAATATAGTCATACACCCGCCACTGAGGAGGACTTACTTTTACATTTTTAGATTCTTCCTTATCAAAGTTGTATCTCTACCGAGTCCAGCCATAATTTCCCA